CAAGATTTCATTTCAGAAGGTGCAAAGGAAGCACGCCTTTCTTTTCAATAAGCAGATACAAAGATGGCGGGCAATAGGCAGTCTCTAGTCTGTGTGAAATTATGCTATACTTAAATGAGAAGGGAGTGCGAGCCCCAGGGAATGTATCGGGGGGGGTCCTTTTTCCGCCACGTCTCTCACTTTTTAGGGATACTTTCTATGTAGGATTTATTCACGTTTCCAATATGTAATCTTGACACGAAGAACTAAGTGTTGTGCCGGCTCCATTTTGTTTAAGATGGACCCTGCCCACCTACTGTGAGCCAGGTGCTGGGTGCAGCACTGTGGATTATCAGTGAGCAGTGACGAATACCCGTATCATAATAATGGTCTCGCTAGGTTAAGGACACCTGATTTCATTTCAAAGCCTAGAACCTGAATTTTAGAGTTTCAAGAGATTTCCAGATGGCCTGGAGTCTGATCTGCTCGTTAAACAGATGATGAAATGGAGAGCCCAACGTTAAGGATGTTTCTTCCACAGCCTCGGAAACACTAATAGCAATGGCATTTGGACTTCCTCCCTGCCCACTCTGCTTTCTGTTTTATTGCTGTGGAACTTTTCTGATTCTGCCCCACCCCCAAGTCCTTTTGTTGTTGTTGTTGTTGTTTTAATGTGCTCAAGATTTCTTAGATGTCTACGGTCTAATTTCAGTGCTAACATTGATTTTCTAATTCTGTAACCTGACTTTTTTCTTTTTCTTTTTTTAACCCAACTTTTTTCATCGTTTGCTGTTTCTCTTTGCCTGGCCACATAACCTGACAGATCTGTCTGTCCTGAGAGTTTAAGAGGCAATCCTGGGATGTCATAGATCTTGTGACGACCTGGGAAAGGGGAACAGTCGGCAGTGACCCTCCAGAGACCTTCCAAACAAAAACACTGGCCCTTACCTCCTTACAGATAGCTGGGCTTGTCCAAGGGCACGGAAAACGGGCAGACACAGCCCTTGCTTTTCAGACACCCCCAGACTGGAAAACATCCTTTTGGCGGGGGGCGGGGAATGAGGACATGAAATCGCTTGCTGTAGTACCTAGCATTCTGTTAAGGACAGTGAAAACACAGTCTGTCATCCTTGACATTTTAATTGAAAGAAAAGCTTACATAGATTTCAGCCGTAAGCAGTATGTTTATACAAGTGTATAAAGAGGAATAATCTGTCAAGTTGGAAAACTCTTAATGCTGCGGGACCCAGTTTAGTAATTGAACAATCCAACATGAGCTCACACATCTTACCTTGTTCCATGCCTCAATAATTTTTAGTAGAAATACTTTACCTAGAGGCATATGGTTATTAAAAAGGAGGCTCGGCTTGCTCAAAGTCTGGAATTATTAGCTCATGGCAACAAGCCTGCACTGGAGAGAGACTGTTGGGTCTTTGTTTTCACAACTTGACTGCAATTGGCCATCTTATTTTCAGAGTCTAGCTGATGCGTTGTTTGGGAAGTGTTTTTTTTTTTCTTTTTTAAGGAAGAAAACATAATTTCACATTGATGAGTGACTTCTCATGTGGGCAGTATTGCAGAATTTTACTACTTCATTGGAAAGTCCAGGGAGCAGGGTGACTCTCAAAAGACACGGACCGTGAATTTATTTTAGTATAAAAGAATCAATAATAACTTAGTTATGGGAGCCATCAAGGTGTGATAGGGGAAACTCTGTGTTACAAGTTGAGTAGAAGTCCTGCTTCTTTCCATGACCCTTCTGACCTTGGGCAAATGTAAATGTTTCTGAGTTCAGCTGACTCCTGAGTAAAATGGGTATAATATGCCCTACCTACCACACTGTATTGTTTTAAGTTACATGAAGGTGAAAATGTTTTGAAAAATATGAAGCAGTTTACAAATGCAATATACAAAGTTGTATGCAAATGCAAGGTATTAAATAATAATTTAATTATTTAGGGAAATTAGACAATGAATGCAATTATTCTGATACCACTCTTGCGTCACCGATCTGACTGTTCTGGACAAATGATTATTTCCTGGGCCAAGTTACATAATTACTTCCATCTAGTCCTTTGTATGCCTAGTGATGGATGGGCATAGATTTTCTTCTTTCAGTTTTTGTAGTTTTAAAAGCCTAAGCAAGAAGCCTAGAAAACTCCGCCAGTTTCATAGGTGGGGTTGGGGAAATTATCTACGGAACCTCTATAAAACAATAATTCAGAAATATTCAGAACCCAAGCATACGTGGCTCTCAAATAACAATGTTCCCTTCCAAGTATACGTTGCTAATTGGTCTGATAAACATCATTAGGTAATTATTACTATAATCCCAAGGGAACCCAGTACCTTAAAAGACTTTCTTAATTAATGAGGGAATGCTTGATATTTTAAAATCGAGTAGATTTATGCATGTGTAGAAATAACTGACCTAATAAGAACACTGAATTAAATGAAACATACCATTCCCCAATTATTCTATACAACTGGGAGTTTTCCATAGTCTTGGGAAGAATGAAAACTTGTTTCAAATTTAATTACTTTTGCATCTCCCTTCACATCACCATTAAATTAATTGTTTTCTTTTAAAAAAATAAACCATTAATAAAAATCAATAATTAGATTTTTATTAATATGGCATGTGAGAAACACAATGTAAATGATGATAATATGTTGCCCTTTTTTCATGAGGATATTGCCATTCAACATAATAAAAACAAAGCTTAGTTGTTTTTCCTGTAACAGTTTTTGCTTATCCTTAACTGTCTGTAACGGAGCCATTTCCCTTGGGGACTAGGGGAAGAGACATGGCAAAAGGCTGTATGTATAGATGTAATGTATGTACAGGTGAATGTATGCATCTTTGTATGTATGTATACACATCTATCTATCTGGATGGAGATAGAGATATATAGATGGAAGGGTGAATGGGTGGATGAATAATTAATTAGCTGTCTGTAGGGACACCCTCAGTGAATCTTTCTCATTATGAAACTGAGGAGTTCAGATTATGAATCTTGTACTTAGAGGAACTGACCGCGATTAAACATGATACATTCATTATACTTTGATATACAGCTATTTTCTCTTCAGCAAGTGTCCCACACGAAACACTGAGACTGGAGAATGTAAAACAAACGTTGTCTGTTGACTGAGCCATACAGTACACCTATCTGACTCGAGGTATCTGCCTCTGAATGAGATAAGTAAGACTTTAAGACTCAGTGAAGTTACCACCTACTATAGAATCTTGGAGCAATTGCAACCGGGAAGTTTCCTAGAACCGAAAAAGCTGAAGGGCTTTCAATGGCCCTGCTAATCTTTACTGTTAATCCAAACTCCAGAAGTTCCCAGGGCACATGTCAAGAAATAACCAAGCACTTCATTTGCTTTTCTGAAAACACCCATTTCATTGTGGCCAGCTACTGACATGAGCCTGTCTAGGTAACTGCTCGAACACACGTTCTGTTAAAAAACACAACAACAAAAAAACTGGGTGTAATTTGTGTACATCTATCTAAACCCTGTGTAAAGGCTTTATACTCTTTGTATTTTCGTATAGACAACTTCCCAAACATATTGACTAATTTATGACTAATCCTATGATGGGTATGTCTCTGAGAGCTAGCTGTAATTCCAAAGGAGCTGTCAGGCAGAGAGTGGAAAACTTAGTCTTCTTTGGAATTAGAACAGCAATGCCCAGGAAGGCCGAGGTTGGCTTTCTTTCCCCTCTTTGTCTCCCCTTCGCCACGAGTCACCCATGGGAGGGAGGCAGATGAGCTCCCAAGAAGAGGCACCTCATGCTACTCTGATGGGGCTTGGGACGGGGCTGACTTTCCCAGAAGCACACGGAGGCACTGGCCTGCACAGAGCGCCCCTGTCTGGAGCCATTACCCAGCTCTTAACATGAGGACTGTTTTTTCTTAATTTTAGAAAATGCAGTAATTTTGCAGGCACTAGTTTCTATCATGGCATTTAGGATAAGATGGTTTCACAGACAAATTCAGAGGTCCTGAGGCATGTTTGTTTATTTGTTTTGTTTTGTTTGTTTGTTAAGTCTTTAACTTAACGGTTTGACATGTATATAGCTCCCCAGAGCAAAAGCATCAGGGGGTTGAGAATTTAGCCAAAGAGGTCACTTGTTTGCCATTTTTAATAAACACAAATAATTCCCTTTTCCCCTCAGTCCCACATTCCCTGGCTCATTAAACCAATTGAAGGCCCTTAACATTTTTTTTTTTCTGGCAAATTGAAGCAAAAGCTCAAACTATGTACTCCCCCGAGGAACGCATGCTTACCCAAGTCCTGCAGGTCAGGCCAAAATCAGTTTCTGTCAAACAGCCTAACACCTCAAGTTATTATGAAACGAGGGATTGGAAATTGGGGGCCGGGCCCCGGACTCGCCCGGAGAAAGGCCGGCTACAGCGCCATGAAAGCAATCCGGCTGCTTTCGTTTGGATCCTGGCTTTGGTTTTTTTCCACTCACAGAGGAGAACAGTGAAAAAGTCAAAAGAGATTTCTATTGGGAGTTCATGAATGAAGTTGGCTCTGCAAATCCAGATAGCAAAAGATCCAGAGCAAAGCCAGGAGGGCTTCCAGGCAGAGGTGTGGGAGAGTGTGGATAAAACATGTGTACACAGGTCTCAGGCGCTGAGATCCTCCAGAGGGCAGACACTTCCCAGTCAACACAGGATTTTGCCACCGGGCCTCTTTCCTGAGATGCGGGGGGCAGTGGGAGATTTACCAGCTTGTTGTCTAGTGAAACATCAGTTAGATAACAGAGGCCAGGAAATGAAGTGGAATTTGATGTATTAACTAGGAAGCAGCAAAGGAAGCCAGGCTTGTGTTTTATGTGTTATTATTTCCCTAATATCCTCAATTATGTGGCTTCCATCAGAGGATCTGCTCTGCTGCGCCTGTCACAGTGGTGTTCCCGCTGATTCTGGGTACGGGGAAACAGGCCGTGAGTCCCCTGGCCAGTGCGTCAGGAATAATACTTGCTTGTTTCGCTTTGTTCCCAGGCCTGTCCCAGGCTCTCTATCTTCTCTGCTACATCTCCACAACAGACAGAGACAGCCCATGCCAGCCTCTATGCCCGGGACCCTGCCCAACCCTACGATGCCAGGATCTTCCGCCGTCTTGATGCCAGTAAGTGCTCCTCATTTTTGCCGAGTCTTGTCCCATTTGAAAGAGGAAAGGAAAAGCCGACTGGGAAGAAAGTAGCTTTCTCTGTCTGGATGGAGAGTTGAGCTGTGTGCCAGGTGGCTTGGAGTGCCCAGTTGTCCATCTCTAGGCATCTTGCTGGCTTTCCCGCCCTTCCGTGCGTCCCTTGTGAGACATGGTCCCATCTCCCTACTGGTGACAAGTGAACTTGCCACACCCAGGGAATGGAATTTGTTCAGGGACCCAGAGTGTTATGACTACTCCGAAGTCTACAGCTTGGGCTGTTTACAGAGTCTCCTTAAATTGACAGCGCGTAGCCTAGCCAGGACTCAGAGTAATAATAGTAACAGTAATAACGATGGTACATAATAGCTCTAACATGTATTCGTGCATATTTGTAGTAATCATTCTAGCAGCATTTTTGGACTGCTTGCCATGTGCTAGTCACTCTCTAGGTACTTCATCAGCACAGGAAACAAATCCTATGAAGTGAGTAGTATGACGACCCCTGTTTTCTGAATGAGGAAAGTAAAGCAAGAAATGTGCTGGTCTCTGAAGCAGAGCACCTGACTTTTGAACCCAGGCATCCTGGCTCGGCTCCAGAGCCCACTTGCTCAACCGCTACACAATACGTACGCTCCCTCCTTTCTCACAATAGTCCTGTGCAGTATACACTTTTCAGATGAAGAAACTGAGGCACAAGACCCTTGGCTAAAGGCCACAAGAGCTAGTCGGTGATAGAGTCAGGATTGAAATCCAGGCCACCTGACTTCTGAGTCTATATTCATAATCATTCTATGGCCCCGCGCCCCTTTGAACACAACAGATGAATGTAGAAGGGAGATACAGATTATTCCAGAGCACACGGTCCTGCCCTTCCGGGAATCCCCTCCCTGTCCTTCTTCGTCATCCCCCCTGGCATTGTGCACTGGTGAACACTTGGTGGAGAGTGTTATTATTCCCAGGCCCCAAGAGTTCTCAAAAGCCCTAGAGGCGATATGACAATTCCATTAAAACCCTCCCATGACAATATCAGCAAGGCGTTGCAGAGCATTTTAGCATTTTAAGGAATTGTCTACATGTGTTGTTTCATTTTGCTCTCACGGCAATCCTGTGGGAATCGGATAGCCGAAATTACTGATATACTCATTTCACAGGTGTAAAGCCGAAGAGAAAGAAGTTGAAAGGAGTTGTCTAATGTCACATAGCTTGTGCGTGAACAGCTGTGACTAGAACCCACATCTCAGCTCATGCTGAGAAGCTCAGATTATGGCAGGTTGAGCAGTTTAGTTCATTTATCCAAGTGGAGCTAGGAGACTGGAGAAGGCCTTGGGGGCCCGACTTTGGAGAAACAGACTTGCCCATTGTAAATATCAGGGGATTCAGGCTAGAAACACTCTTTGCAAAACTGGGCCAGAATGACAAATGGCTGACTGCACCTGCGCTGCTCAACTTAAACACCTTTCGATGAAGGAAAACAGCACCGTCAATGCCATTACCCCAGGTTTTATTCAACCCAACTAATTGCATGAAAACTTCTACCACAAGCTACATTCAGTTAGGCTCTAGGTCCCTCTTGTCCAAAATTAGCCTCCTCTCAGAAATCCTATGCATTGTTTAGAAAAATACTACTGCAGTAGCGTTTTCCCCATTTGACTAAACTGTGTGGCCATCCCAGGGGCAAAGGCGAAACACTTGGGCTGAAAGGGCCCAGAGGAAAGGGATGTGGCCCCAGTTCCCACCCCATCACTTCATCCTGTTGCTTGACTTCCTATTGATGCTTCAGGATAGGAGCAAAGGATCAGGCCCATGGTAAAGAGTCAGAGGAGATAAAAGTCAGGGATGCTACCTCCACAGGAGTTCCCAGCCCACGTGTCAGTCACACCTACGGCTGCCATGACAATAGTGTCAGCCTAGAGTAGTGATTCTCAACTGGGTGTGATTTTGTCCCCCAGGGGTATTTGGCGATATCTGGAGACACTGTTGCTTGTCACAGGTGGGGAGGGGAGTGCAACTGCCATCTAGTGGGTAGAGACCAGGATGCTGTTAAACTCCTACAATGCACACCACAACCCCCACGACGAAGAATTATTTTGCCCAAATTGTCAATAGTGCTGAGGTTGAGAACCTGAGGCCTAGAGTGACACTAAGGTAACTAGTGAAACTTAGTATGGAATCTCTAAAAAGCATATCCTAAGAGCTCTCGGTCCTAGAAATCTGGGCCCTTTCTCCCTTATCAAGTCCCCAACTGCTGTGCTATAATTTTGCAATTTCAAGCATAGTCTTCCTCTAGAGTTCCTGCCCCTGGAACCCATGATTTACTGGGTATAGAAGGTAAGTCAATGTCTGTAGGTGAAGGTGAGATTCTTAACGGAATTTTAGTGCTTGCTATCACACCGCACATTGCACAAAGCCTTAGATCTGGAACAAAAATGATGTATTTGTTCATTCATTCATTTCACAAACTTTTGTTGAGCCTCTTCTATGGGCCAAGATACTGTGCTAACTGCTGGTATGTGGTGAAGAACAAGACAGGCATTGCCTTTAAGGAGTCCACTGGATTATGATATCGAAAGTCCAATGCTTAGATAATTCAGTAGTATGAACACCCATTTATTATTATAAAAGCCCAGTGAACTGCAGACAGTGTAGCTTCTGTTTTGCAGTTTTTTTTCCAAGGGAAGAGAAGCTCAAACAAGGGTGAACTCCTTTGCCGGGATGTTTCATCTCTAGAGCTAAACGTTGCTTGGTGCTCGGCAAAGACACTCCCATCGGCTGACCCCTTATTCTTGTCACCTCATCAAAGCCACGCTCACGGTGAGAGCCTTCTTAGTACAAAGCACCAAAGAGTTGTTTTGAAGAGGCTCTTGCTGACCCCTATCATCATTTAGATGGAAAAAATGCAATTTTTTAAGATAGAGAAATCAGCCTGTTTTCAGTATCCTGTTTAATTTGTGAGTCATGGGGGTAGGAGGAGTCATAGACTGTAACTTTTCCAAAAAGTGGGAAGCATGGCCGACTCAGGACCCAGAGGCTGCGAACAGACTACTCTCACGCCTTCGTGATGCATCAGGACCAGTAGCTTGGAAACCTCCAGACAATCATTTGTACTTTTGGAACTCCCCCCCAACCCCCGACTTTGGAAAACTGAAAGCAAAAGCCTCACTTGGACTTGATTTTCCTGTAGCAGAAGGTCACCAGTTGGTAAAGGGTCAAATGCTTCCCCAACTCTTCTATCTCCCAGACTCTGGAAGTGTGGACTTATAATTATTAAGCATTTTTTAGAGCAATGTTCATAACTTAAGAATAAGAGGACACACATGTAGTTAATGGCACTGAACTGGACACTTAAAAATAGTTCAAATGGCGAATTTTATGTTATGTGTACCTTACCACGATTTTAAAGCATAATTGAAAAAATTAGAGTTCCCAGGCTGTGTGGAGATTTTGGGGGATAGGAGCGTGACTATTTTAGTTTACTGAACTGATAAAGCCTCAAAAGTTTCTGCTGGAGTGCTCTAGAAAATTTCTTCTTTACACAGCTCCTTTTGAAACAGTGTCCTGTATCCATACACTGATAGATCACTGAGAAACTAATTCAGGCCGGGGTGAGGCAAGTGGTGCTTTGCGGGGACAGGGAGTGTCCAGGAAAAGGCTTTTAGCTGCACCTCTGCTCATCCACACAGCAGTGTCATAATTACACGACCCCCTCCCCTGGGGTGGGCACAGCAGGAATTGAAGACGCAGAATCTCAACAATGGCAGAGACCTCAAAGGGTCATGTAGTTCAACTGTCACTTTCAACTCTGTCCTCGATAAGAAACTCGGTATTTTCCAAGGCTACCTGGGCTAACTTTGAGCAGAAACCTGGTTCCTTAATATTTCCAACATTGTTTTCATTTCCAACCTTTGACAAATGCAAAAACTCTGGCACTGAAGAATCTATTCTCCCACTCCCTACCCCACCCTTCACTCCCAGGAAAGTCTTAATTATTTTCTGTGTGATTCCATTATTAAGTATACTAGCTTTATTTTGGTTCTTTGAAAAGTGCTAATTTTTACTAACCAGGAAATATTCATCAGACACACCCTCCCATGACTGAAAGAGAGTTTTGTTGGATTTCCTTTTTTTTTTTTTTAACAGATTTTATTGGGGAATTGGGGGAGGGGAACAGCGCTGGGGAATCTGGGGAAGGGGAACAGACAAGTTGCTGTCCTTTTGTTCTTCAGTCTAGTTGTGGAGGACATTGCTTCACTGGCCCATGTTGGTATTATCGTTGTGCTCTTCCTGGATGAGGCAGATCCGTCGCCGGCCTCTGGACGGCTGCTCATGGCGGCTTTTGGCAGCTCACGCTGGCTGCCGGCCGCTCATGCTGGCTGCCGGCCACACACGGTAGCTTATGGCAACCCACTGCAGCAGGGGCTGCAGCCTACGCCGTCGCCAGCGACTCATAGCAGCCCAGCTCCAGGTCGAGCTGCTGCTCACCATCTTAGCTGTAGAGGGCGCAGTGTCACTGGCCCTCATGTGGGATCCAAACTGGGGCCCTGCTGCTCAGAGCTGGCGTCCCAAGCCAGCTCTTAACCAACGTGCCACTCAGCCAACCCTGGATTTCCTTTTTAACAAGGACACCCTGGAGACAAAAATGCCAGAACTCAGTGCAGATATGTGCATATTAGTTCTAGACACACTGGCTGGCCAGCAGGTCAAGGTAAGAGCAGTTGATCAGGGGTCATCCAATTTCCTCAGCTGCTTTCTCCACCTACCCAAAGGCCTAGTCCCTCCATCAGGCTGAACACTGCTGCTGGGTGGAGCCTTGACCAGGTAACAGTGAGGAGGCAGAGGCTCAGATACTCATGCTGGATCATTTCAACTGTGTTTATGAGTAAGAGCGACAGGAAGACCCACCTGCATTGCTTTTAAAATTAATTGTATCTTTTTTCATTGCTAGAATGATTCATGTTTCTGTATAACATTTAAGGAGGGGGAAAAAAAGCCATAGATAACCGGAGATAACCATTTGGTAGATTGGACGTCCTTCCAGCGGTTTTCTATGCATATGTTATTCTTTGTAGCTCTAAAAATAAGCAGGATTTGTGGTAGATGAAGTGTTTGCAAAAGTGGAAACATTCCATACTTTTGTTTGGAAATCATCTCCATGACAAGGTAGTCCTCTTGGGCATGGGGCATCGTCTATCGATGGCCCAGCTTAGGGCGATCCTTGGATGTGCTTGGGCTCCAGGCTCAGGAGTGCATTGCTTACTGTTCCCCAAACCACAGGCTTTCTCTGGAGTTATTCAAAGAAATTCTAAACAGTTCATGTGAAAGAGAAATGCAGCTTTGTCCGTGAGCTAGACTGCCTCTCTCAGACTGCTGATTCTGTTGCTTTCCTTGCTCTTAGATGGAGAGACAAATGTCCGTGAACTCCAACCTACTGGGAATGCAAGGTCCAAATCTCAGCAACCCCTGTGCTTCTCCCCAAGTCCAGCCAATGCATTCAGAAGCCAAAATGGTAAGTAACAGTTATAATCATCCTTTTGTTATCTCATGACTTTTTCTTTTGATTTCTACTTGGACTTCCAAAGTTTGGTCAAGTCAGGTAGGCGGCTCCATCTTTGTTTTGGTGAATAGGTCTTTCTGTGGAAAGGCAGTGCAGAGCTTGGATCTTTCTTTGAGGATATTTGTTACGGAACCTTGGCATAGATGGTCACATAACAAGCATTGGATCAGCACATGGCCTTGTGAAAGGGACATTTAGAAGTTGGGGGGAGACCCATAGGAGTTGAAGTGGGGTACAACTAAGTATATGTATATTTTCTGTAACCTAAAAGTAAAAATGATTCAGAGTTTCTGTGCTTCAAGATGGTCGCAGTTTCAGTGCCACTTTTTCTGTCCCTCTATCCATTAAAACATACGTGTGACTTTTAAGCAGACACTCTTATGGAAACATTTTGCGTTTTTTGTTTTTGTTGTCAGATGTGACGTTGATTGGAAAGGATCAGAGAGCTTTGTTTTCTTACAGGGTAACTGCAACCCTTACTGAAATACATGATTTCAGGTGACAACCTTCAGTGACCTTTAACATATGAGTCTTATGTGCAGTAAGGTCAGTCTTTCCAATCACAGTGATAGATTCGTGCATTTAGGTTCCACTAAATATTAATAGAAAGCAACGCATGCCTGTCTTTGCAATATAAAGTACATTTGCTGGTTATATTTAGGGAAGTTGTTTGAAGTAGGTCATTCAATTTTCGTTAAATTTCAACACAAATTAGGAAGGTATCAGATGACAACAAAAGACATCGCGGCAAGGGTTTCGGTATCTGATACTAACTGATAGTTTTTGCTAGACATCGGATATTTATTTGGTTTGCTGACTGACAGCGTTAGAATCTGTCTGATGGGTGGTGTGAGGATGTTCTTGACAGTTCTGAAAATTAGTCCTCAAAACCTAGTGACTTCATTTTCAATGGCAGCTAGTTTTTTGTTTGTTGGTTTTTGTTTTTGTTTGTTGTTTGCTTGTTTGGACATCTGTTTTGGTCACTTTCTCTTGGAAACTTCACTCATTTGACCAGCAGCTTTTTGACCCAACGTAGCAATTGAGCTCCCAGTGTTGGCTTCCTCAGGCAAATAAAATCTGTGGTCGAGAGAGTTCTCTCTGCTGTGCCACAGGCCCTGTGACAAGCCAAATGGCACTGGCATCTTCAGCAGAGCTCGTTAAATCTTCTTGGAGTCGGCAAATATTTTTTCAACTTAAGCCCTATAGAGCCAAACCAAATACTTGCTGGCAGAGTAAAGTTCAAACTGGCATCTGTTTTGGAGACCAGAGTAATGCCATTTACTTTTTTTTTTTTTAAGAAAAATAAAAAATGAACTGTGAAGGTACTTAAGAAAAAACAAAATGAAGGTATTCCTGTGTATGAATAAGTGTTCTGGGTCTGAACAGCAGATGCTCTTCCCCCAGCTGGATGATTTCTGAATTGTCTTGTTTGGTTTAGGGTCTGTATCCCTTTTGAGGGACCTCCCAGACAGACTTGAGGTGGATTCTAAAAGACAATTCCAAACCAAATTTCCCTGCCAATTGATTTTCACTGGGTTTTATGCTACCACTTGACTCCGGAGTATTCTACTCCTCTTCTTGCTGCCAACAAAGGAAGAAAATGCTTCTAAAGGGAGTCAAGATTTATACTTATTTATATGTGTGAAATAAAAACATATGGTGTGGCAAATTAACGGGGAATAATATCAGCTGGAGACAAGAGAATTGGTCTGTACTTATAAAAATAGTGTTACCCACAAATGTTTGTTGAGTTAAATTTACTGAGCAAGGAGGCTACTCTGCTGATTCATGTTCTAAGTGAATCAGTATTTTCATCCATGATATCAGGGCAAATGAACTCTATGATGGAGTTGGGGCAACACAGGTAGCCTCTCTACCCCAAGCTCCCACGCCTAATCCCATTATTAGCAATAAATTAACCCAAGGGGGAAAATGGTAGTATTGGCCACTTATACTTTGGAAGAATAGCATTTACTTAACAACTTGGAAAAGTGTTAAGTGACTTTTAATATGTTACTCAGCATCTCTGTTCTTATTCTGCTTGTATTATACACTGGAGAAACCAATGATTGCCATCTACTAGCTGTACCATATTTTCTAGCAGTTTTCAGTTGCTTAGATGAAAAGCTTTTATAAAACACAAAGTAGTGAAGGAAAACACACACACACACACACACACACACACACACACACACAAACTATGATTTTAATGTCAGCCAGAGCCTCCCCAGGTTTCTCAGAACTATGGGCTTTGTTGTTCTATGCCTAATTTTCTTCCTGTGGAAGGCTGGAATGGATTCCAGATTTCAACTAAAGACTCTTGTTTCACAACTTTCAAGGACTTTTCCAGAGGTCACACATGGGCTATTGTGATGAATGCACTTTGTGGGGTGTGTTCTCAGTGCACGAGAAACCAGAGAGCTGCCAGGGAGGTGTCACCCACACCACAGCACTACAGACCCATTCTGCTGGGGACACTGGTGTCCATTTCACACTCCCTGTTGACCGCTGACAAAAGCCATCATCTTAAATCTTTGGTGAAACTTGAAGGTCCAGGAGGTGGACAGAAGCTTAATTAAGATAGGATTGCATTAAATGCCCAACTTTGTTAGAAGCTGTCTGACTAGTGATTGCTCTGTGGAATATATCCATTTTCCTTGTCCCTAGTCAGTCATTTCTATGGTGAGACAGAGCAAAATTGGCATCCCCAGTCAGCTCTACAGTACATTAATCTGGGACATCCTAAATCAAGAAGCACACGTGCTCTTCTCTTGACTTAATGTACATTAGTATCAAGCAATGACTTCAATGTACTGTAGCCACATCTGTCCAGGCTGGTTTTATCATAATTCTGGCAGATTATAATTTAGTTTTATGGATTCTTTTTTTCTGAAGAATTAAGCCAACAGACATATATGGCTTCACAATTATACAAGTGAATACATGCATACTGGATTTCGTTTGGGGTCAGAGCAGACTCGAAGCCATGAGAACCTTCCATCTTTCTAACTACCCAAAACAGCACGCGCTTCCTTCTGCTTTCCTGGGAATGCTGAGTGCCCCCTGTGAAAATGGGGCCTGCTAGAAAGGAAATTCACTGGATACCTGGTGGACATTTTTAACATTCAAGGGACAAAGGGAGGAAAGGAGAGGACATGAGCATAGAGAGTAGAAAAGGGAAGGAAGAAGGAGCCAGATGGGTAGGGGAAGTACCAAGCAGCTTCTGCTGGATGCGAGTGATTCTACAGCGATGTGGATACGGCGTCCTCAGAGTTTTGTAGATATGTGTTCATTTCTATTTGTGAGAATTATACTAGTTCTGTCCAGCTTTGAAAGAGTTTTCGTTGTTGTTGTTGTTGTTGTTGTTGTCGTCCCCCCCCCGAACCCCAAAATGGTGTTGGAAGCTAAATAAGGATGGGGGGAACGTGTCCATAGACCTATCTTGTGTCTCATCCGTGATGAGGTGACTACTGCCATATTGAAGCTGACTAATATGACGGGTGGCATATAAACAACTGCTGGAAGAGGGCTCTGGCCACTCGGCCCAGCGTTCACCTTAAGTTTAGACAGAGTTGGTGGAGCCTAGGCAGTATTGACATGAGGGAGAACGTATGCGCAGCAACTGTGACCTGATTTCATGCTCAGGATGGCGCCAGGACATGGGGATTGTCCCATTTTACAGCGGGGGCAATCAAGGCTCCGAGAGATGAAAAAACTGGGCCAATGACACATCACTTAGCAAAGGCTAACGTCTCAGGCAAAGCTTTCTCATCACAACATTTATCCTTTAGATAAAAATGTCATACAGCTTTTAGACATTAGTAAGCAGCAGGTTCAATCAACTTTCAGGTGAGTTTCTATTTACACACAAATGGGAGACCAGGATGACAAGGACAGTGCAGACCTGCAGGTAGCCTGAAAAGGATGAGGGGTGGTTGGTAATATGGAACTTTCCCCCGTGATTTACCCAGAGTCTGTGGCCGCCCTGACAGGTCCAGGTTCTCTTCCTTTGTATTCAACCACATTTTTTTTTATCCTGTCATTTTTTATTTTACTTGTGTGTCTCCCCAACTTGACTGAGTGAAAACTTCTTGAAGATAATCCTTGCATAGTATAAGCTCCATGTACTGCAAAAGGCCTCACAAATGAGAACTGAATTTAACTGAGTTGAGCTGAATTAAAATTATGGGAAGGATCCAAAAATCCTAGCCATGAAAATGGGGGTAGGATGGAGTGGGTAAGAGGTAAGGGTGGGGCTGAGAAGGAGAGGATAAAAGTAGATAAATGCTAAGCTAAGTAATTAGCTTGTAAAGAGTAGCTGACTACATTTGATTTCTTTGAAAGATATCTAGAAACAGTATCCACCATATTTTTTCCTTGAGAGAAAAGCAATATGTGTGTTCCTTAGAAAACAGATGTTGGAATATCTTAATGCCCTCCTAGGGATTAAGAGCGATCAATGCTAAATGCCATTTTTTCTATTGTGATGATCTGGTGCTGTATTTTGGTCATTATTTCTTCCATCGTGCTGTATTTAGGTCATTCTTCCATGGTGGTGGACTGGCTGTGCTCTATTTTGGTCGTTGATTGTCAATACTTTGTCCACTGTTAGGCTTTCAGTTTATTGAACGCATGCATAATTGTATGCATTAATGAACGAATGAAAGAAACCAGGAAGGTTGCAGAGTCAGGGCCTTTTAGAGATGGAGGGTCCTTAGTAACGACCTTGCCCAAATTGCTCCTTTTACAAGTAAAGACACCAAAGCCTGGTAAAGACTTAGGGAAATGAAGCCATCATTTAAAACACAGAGCTGGGCTCCCAACTCAGGCCTTCATCCTTCTACCCAGAATTATGCTTTTCCATCAGCTGATAAATTACTAACAGCGCTTTTCCCCCTTGGCTCATGGTTTCCCCCTGGCAGATTGGCAGACAAGAACTGGGGTGGTAGAGT